GAATAAGGACATGCAGCACACGATCAACCTCCTGTCCTAAATTTTTATATAATGTTTTCCTTCGACATTGCTAACCTCCATACAGAAACAAAAAGCGGTAAATGAAGAGAAATGATGATGTACGTGATACAACTAAGAGAGCTTCACACGAGAAGTTTAATATAAAAAGAAGTATGTAAATAAATGTGTGAATTGTTAAACTAAAAACCTGAGTTACTATTGGTCCACCAGTACGTCCTATTCCTGCCGAAGAACGATTTCCAGGGACATGATCTGATCCATACAATGAAAATCTAGAAGAAGGAATATGTGATTCCATTTGGCTTTCATGATCAAGAAATAAAGAATCCCTCTTCATTTGAAGAGGATAATCATTCCCAAATGAAGTCCTTGGAGTAGTGTGCCGCAATGCCTTGTCAGACCAAGTGTCCACTTGCCGTTCCTGTGTGACCGGTGGTGCATTATACTGTAGAACAGGATAATCATCTTGATTAGAGTCCTCTAATCATGGATCGCTAAACTAAGCAAAGGAATCGACTTACACTCTTCTCAAATAGGGGAAGAACACTCTGATCCACCAAAAATTTTCTCAGATGCCCCACCACAGCTTCCAAAGCTTTGAGAACCTTGAGAGCTTCCCCTTGTAATTCGACAATCCTTTCCTCAGAATTGGCATAAACTGGCATTTCATCTGCAGCAACAAATATGGAGTATCATGTAATATATCTTCATAGTGAACATCATTTCAAGCAAAACAATCATGGACACACTAATGTCCCCCGTTTTGTATTATTTTCACATAATTCTTGCGCACACCAAATCCGATCGCATCAAATTACTTAACAGAGAAGTATTTTGAAAAAGAAGATAGTTCAAATTTAGAATGCTCTAATGTTTAATTGAAATAGTTAATTTATGATCAGAATTCCTGAGAGATCAATCTGTGCCTGCTAGTTTGTCTTCCTAATTTATGTTTATGCTTCACAACATAAGCACCAAATTGAAGCAACTCCCTTTTGTCAAAAAACAAAAATCATGACCACATGCATGCGCACGATGTGTTCTCATAGTTCTTCTGTCAAAGTTAATGAAACAATATGAATTTAACAAAATAGGCAAGAACAATTTAAAGTGTAAACCCTCTCCAGGGGAAAAGAAGGTATCATACAACCAACGCCACTTGGTTAGTTCGAAGATGTTAAAATACCATTGGAGAGAATGCGGATAGAGGCACCAGTGCTCTCTTGAATTGACTTAATCAAAGAGCCTTGTTTTCCTATTAAACTAATGCCTTGCGAGGATGCCACTAATAACCGAATTGAACAAAATGCAATTCCAGCAGCACCAAGAGCCTCGTCATCACCATAATTCTCAGGTAGTCCATTGATGCGTTTAAATATTCTTATTACGGCATCTACTGCAGGAGACAGTGGTGCTTCTGGTTCTTCCTTCCCAGAAATCAGAACCTGAAGTTTTTTATGATGAAAATAATGTCAGCAGTGTTAAAAATGAAACTAAAACCTGAAATAGAAAGAAGCTTTTTTAATTCAAAGCACTCGCATCGATGGACTAAACTTGTGTTCAAAAACCCAGGAAAAAATGTTTTATCCATGGGTTTATCGATGGATCCAGCGTCCTAATCATTAAATCAAGGACACACACACACATATAGGACAGAAGTCACAGAGTCCCACTCCAAGTACATCAGCAAAACCTGCCAATGAATAATCTAAATATCTAATAGAGGCAAAGTTTGCGCTCAAGGCACCGAGTAACTGAGCAGCATTTTTTTCACAACAAAAAAATTACCAGCACTCCATATTCTATTGTATGATTTCCTCTTATAAAATGTTCCCCTTGTCCTTATGGAACAACTACTCATTTCAGGTTAATATAACAGTACTAACAAACATCCAGAATAAGAATAAGTGGTAAGAAACAATAATCTTTGAACGTGATGTAACACCTTGAGTCCCTTACAAGAAGGGAAACTTCTTTTGAGATGTATTATAGAAGTTCAATTATGCTAAAAATGGTCATTAGTAGCAATAAAAAAAATCCCAGGCAAAATATTAGCAATCGGTTGCCAGTGATCGATATCATGATTAATGTAAGAAACTTTCTAATGGTTATTAACCCAGTGGAAAGTGAACAGAAGCATCAAGGTTATAAGCAGATGCTCGATTGCAATGGTTCTAAAGCATCAAAATTATACGCAGATGCTCAATGTAACGATTCTAAATTAACAGTTAGCATCCTGCGATTGATGCCGTTCAAAATCCACCATATAAGGTTGAAATTATGCCACATATGCTGCGTGTTTATTTTTTAAACTACTCTATCCCTGGCTGAAAAGAAGTGTAATAAATTATACAAGCTACCCTTTTGCTTCTTTAGGTGTCATCTTAACAAGTGTCATATCATAAGTTCTTAATTACTAACCAGATTTCTTCGAATCATCATCAATCCACTTTTTTTTTCATTTATTAATGTATCCTGAATATGTTGGACGGGCACATTGATTGTTCAAACTAATATGATAGCACTTTTAATACCATGCCCCCATTTGGACCCCATTCTATTTCATTTTCTCTCTCTCTCTCTCTCTCTCTCTCTCTCATTTTCAACCACGATCTTTCATAAAATAATATTACACATAAATAAAAAAAATTTCATTCTTTTCCAACCACACATTCTTCAAAAAAACACTATTTCAAACATTAAAATTTGGAGAAAAAAATGGGGCCTAATGGGGGCCATATGTATCTATGTTAACAAATCCAGTCATACCAACAAAATTTGTCGTCCTCCAATAGCATACAACAGACCTATAACCATTTCTTGAAAAACGTTTATGATAGACTATCACACCTCATTAAAAAGCGCATTTACTGGATGAAATTCATTCTTAGGGGAAAAAATACTTAAACAAAAACACGTGTCGAATAAGAAGCCGAACTGCAGGAATTCAGTGGCAGAACTTTCTTTCCAAAATAATGCTATAAGAAAGGAGCTCATAACAAATGAACACATCTGACTGCATGACTTGGTTGTCTTTCAGGACACATTATCTTAAAAAAAAAAAATTTAATTTTAGGCTCAAAAAACAATAATAATTATTAGATAATCTCTAAAACACAAACATAACTCTGAACTACAGTGAGAAAAGAAAATTGGACATACAAACAAAAACTTGAACCCAAGATTAAGTTTTTAAGAGATTTAAAAATTGAAATATGAAAATAAAAGAAAAACAGCATATCTTTAGTTTTATCTTTCAAAAACGTGAAACCCATTGAAAGTTAACAATCAATGTACAAGAAAAATAAATAAATAAATAAAAGAAAGAAAGAAACTTTGAAACCCTATAGATACGCATTTCTCAAGAACAGTATAAAAATTCTCGCAATAGAACTATACAGGTAGACATATATAGACATGAACATACAGAAAAAAAGAGGGAAAGAGAGACTACAATGCGATCGGGGGAGGTGAGAAGGCCCTCAAGTATGCGAACCCTAGCACGAGTCTCCTCAACCAGCTTCTTGATGAGATCTCCCTTGCGCCCAATGATGCTGCCGACTTTCAGCACCGGCACCACTATCCGATACACCGTGTACCCGGGCCACCCGGGCCACTTGGCCTGCATTTCCTTCAATCCATTCTCCTTTTCATCAGCTGATGGAGTGTCTGCCGCATCTGCAATCTCGGGAGAGGCGTCTTCTGCCGAAGGGCTTTCCGCATCCGCTATTTGTGGCTGCTCCGTATTACTGCCATTGGGGCCACCTTCGTCGGTGGTTGGTTGAGTATGGTCCATTTCTCGAATACTTCTATTTTGGTCAGCAGCGAGGGTTTTGCCAGTGAGAGGAAGACTGTGCGTGGTGTGACGGGGTGAGAGGAGAGCGCAAGATAAATATTTGGAAGTGAAATTTTAGTCCATGTTTGGGAATTATTGGAAACACTTTTAGGTCAAATTATTTTTATCTA